TCAGCAGGAGACCAATGGCCTGGAGGTGGTGAGCCTCTGGCTCCCTGGAGGTGGTCCTGTGCCCACAGCGAGAAGTTCTCAATTAACTGGGTTTTTTCACCCCTTTTATTGTACTCTTTATTTAAGCCCAGGAGTTCTGACTTCCACCCCATGGCCTGTCAGCAGAGGCCAAGTTGGTGCTTGTTAGTTGTAATGGATTGAGTGTGAACTTACCCCTTGGTCCTAAATCCCCGTCTCATATCTGTGTTTCTCTCTTCTGCAACAGGAGTTCTCCGGGGAGATTCTCTGAGATCACTGGTTCTTCCTCCACAGTCCCAGGTGCAGCGAAGTTCAGGTGGTTTGCAGCACTTCTCCAGAGCCTCCTGGTACACCAAAAGGCAACTGAAGCAGAGACACTGACACAGATATGCCAAGTGCTCCAGTTCTCCAACCAGGAATGCTCACTGTCACCCGCAGGCATGACTTAGAAAGCAGTGCTTGAGGTGCTCCAGCATGGAGTCTGTGCTGAGGTTGTTCCCAGTTCCTGCCTTGCACAAACTGGGATTCTCAATGCTATCTTTCTTTTTTAAATTGAAGTAAATATTTGTGTTTAAGTATTTATAATTGGCATTTTGCATTTCCTCATCTAGATTCTGGTGCCACAGTTTGTTTTGTTTTGTTTAAATTGAAAGAGACTTCTTGAGAGATCTTTGAGTTACTCTAAAAAACTATAGAAGTCTGAGCAATTCTGGAGCTCCTGCTAAAGAGGGGGTAACAGATGCAGTCAGGTGCTGGAGTGAATGGCCTGTTTCATGCAGAAAGACAAATAAGAGGAAGAGGAAGGAGGGCTGATTATGAGCTTCTATTCTTTTATAAGCTGCCCCTGCCATTTTCTTCTCTGAATTTATTTGGAGTGGCCTAATATGGTTTCGCTTCATGGGCATTTTGTAGCTAAGAGTTTTTTAAAAGGAGAGGCCTGAAAAGGATTGATTTTGCAAGAACATTCAATCATTTATGCAACTCCAAGGCAGAGCTGTGTCAGTCAGTGTGTGTTGCTGTTTTGGGTAGAGGTGTTAGGTATTTTTCTCCTAGTTTTCTCTTTTCTTTCTCCTCCTCCTGGCTACTTCTTTGCTCTCTCCTTTGCCAGAGCAAGTTTTACTTCTTCTTCCTTTTGGTGCCGTTTCCATGGCTCCAAGCTTTGCCAAGTCACTTTGCTCTCCTTCCAGAGCTGGCTGGAGAGTGAATAGGGTGCTTGTCCTGGCCTGAACCCAGACAGAGGAGTTCAATGGTATTTCTGCCTCTCCATGTTGTTTTGAGCTGATCTTGTCCTCAGTGCAGCAGTGGTCCCTGCAGCACAAGATGGTTGGCTGTGATGGTTCACAGATCTCAAAAAACAGTTTGGCCACGTCTGCATCCTTCAGAGGTTCAGCCTCACTGGATGGCTAGATCAGTTTGCCCATGAAGCTTTAAAATTTAGGTAATTGGTTCCCCAGGGCCCGTGGTTCACACTGTTGTGTTGTTCTCTGCTGCCTTTCCCATGGCTTCCATCACCTTGGGAGAGCAGGAGCAGCTCTGAGGCAGAGACATTAACTGTGATTGCCAGAGCTTTTGAAAATAGCATCTATTGTTCCCAGAAGAAGAAAAATCCCTTCACCCAGATGTCCTGGCCCCATGCTTAAATAGTAACATTAGATGTACAAAGAGAGACACAAATTATTCTGCAGGTTCATTGTCAAAAGAAGAATGGTCTAAAGTGCTCTCAGGGATGAAGGCTGGCACTGAGACAGAGCAAGTGTTGTACCTTGTGGGAGAAACCAGACTAAGAGAAAGGAGAGTTTCCTCTTTCTTTTCACTGTTACTTTAATATGATTGTCTGTTTAGATTTGTATTCTAAAGCACAGCAAAGTAGAGGCTTAGTTGAAGAGCTGACTTTTGGTGATAGAAGAGAAACTAATCTATTAGTGTTAGTTAGGCAAGACAGAAGCTAAATGTTGCTTCTGCTGTAAAACTGTCAAGTTATCTCTTGTTTTAGTGGGCTTGACCAGCTCATAGCTGATATCCAGAGAAGTCATCTGGAGCTGAGAAGTGTTTTCCATTTCCTCGTGCCTCTGTTGCCTGCAGGACAGTTTGTGCAGAGCTGCTGGGCACTTCACCTTGTGGCAGATGTGGTTTGAATGTAATCTATCTTTGTATGTTATTTTTATTTTATTGCATAGCTAGTAAGTACATTTTTAGAGTGCATGGGCTTTACTGGGACAAACGATGTGTGCCTGGGTCCTGAGTTGGGGGAAACCCTGCATTTTGTACCATCCTGCTGGTTTTAACCACAGATGGACAAAGCTTTGTGTGTGATTTGGGAACTACAGATTGACATCTCATGCTGGAGACAATATTCTAATCCTGGATGGGATGAATCTAGCCCTGTGCTAGATCAGGTTTTCAAGTAGACATGGTATGAAAGATTGAAAACCCATGGAGGAGATTCAGGAAAACTGGTCCCTAAACCCAGCCCTTACCCCCTGGGTGCATCTTGCTGAAGTCTTAGGGCCCAAAATGCCCCAGGGATCTCTGCATGTCAGGGATATCTACATGTGCTGTGGCTGCCACCTTCCTCCTAAATGCAGCTGGTCACTGAAGCCTTGGATGGTTGCTCAGATGTGCTCTGGCAGCAGCAGCATCCACCAGATCTCCTTTTGTACAGGACAAAGTACTTTGCAAGGTAAGGAGGTATCAGGGCATTGGGTGGAGTTGGGAAAAGCCAAGCTGGTGTTAACAAGATCAGGATATATGGGATGGTCATGGAGAGACCTGCTGATCCTATGGGAAAACAGGACATTGCTGAACAGTTGTTGGAACTCTTTTCATCTAATTAATTATTATTTTTTTTTTAAATTTGAGTTGAAGATCCTGGCTAACTTCTAGGCCCTTTCTCCTGCAAATATTTATTTAAAAACAAGTAAGAGAGTTGGGTATCTGCCATGCTCCCTTATTAAATTCACTCCCAGAGACTTGCTTTGATTCAATCAGCAATATTTAATGAGAACTTACCTGAGGGGAACTCATTCCCTTAAGGCTGGGTCAATGTCTGAGCCTGGCACAGCCACCGAGGAGCTGGGGTCCCTGTGAAGCCAGTGCTAATCCTGTCTGGCATCAGGGGAGCACAGGGAACACAGTGCCAGGTTGTTGTGAGATGTCTGGGCTGTTAGTGGTGGAGCTGTGAATTACTCTCGCTCTGTAGGATTTGCTGGATGAGCCTCATCTGGTCGTGGGCCATGTGCTGACTTCAGGGGAGAGCCTGTTTCACCCTTCAGAAACTGAGATATAAATAAGTGCCATGAATTTCACCCCATTTAGTCTTAGCTTCCCTCAGCATGCAAAATCATGCCTGTTTGTGATGAGTCAATGTGTTTGGTGTCTGCACTGTAAAGGCTCTCCTTAAAGCCAGCTGGCTTCTTCAGCTTGCTAAAAGCCTACAAACTTCCTCTCTGCAGTATGGGTTAGTTGATTAGATTCATACCCCCAGACAACTTATCTAAACATTCAGGCCAATTTCTCCACCAATAAGACAGATAATTTTTAATCAAAGTGTCCACCAGCTCTCTTGCTGTGCTTGGCTGGAAAGATCTCTCAGTAGCTATTGTAGGGTTGCTCTCTGTATCCAAAGCAAGAACTTGCGCTACTTAGACGAGAAACTTGCTTGGAAAGAAAAATGCTTGGTAGCAGCAAATTTCCTTCCAGAAAAATATGGGCTTCTGCTTGTGACACACCATGGTCCCCATGGCAGCCTGGCTGCGTTGTGCACAGATGAAAATTACAGTGGCAATAACTAATGAAGCAATAACAATTAACATTAATTTGTGCAATTTCCTTCAGTAGCAGTAGGAGCTCTGCCTCCCTGCACAGGGACTCCTTGGGCCATTCTTTCAATGCAGTACTTTGTGGGATGGGACTGCAGTGAGTCAGGCACGATGGCTTTCTGGGGCTTGGGTGAGCAAGCCTTTCAGACTCTTGGCAGCTCTGTTTGCTTCCAGGATGATCGACAGGGATTGGAAGGCAGAGGGGGCTTTGAAAGTGACTGAAAAGCTGGGGCTGATACTGAAGTGTTATGAAGCAGCCATAAGGTGATGGGCAGCACTGCTGGGGAAGGACAAGGTCAACTGCTGCTGGCCTTTTAGCTCACAAAAAAAACAGCAATCCCAATTATTTTGGGATTCCTGAGCTCAGAGGCTGCCAGGACACTTAATGGGCTTGTTGGCTTTTTTCCTAGGAAAGGTAATGAGTGGAACCTTCCCCAGGACTTTGTGCTGTAGCTACAGTGACTTCCCAAGCTTTTTGTGGGAATGGAGCTAATAGTGGTAGAGCCACCAAAAGATATCTCACGAATATGTCAAGTTTGGTGTTTGTTCGGTAACTACCGGCCTCAACCACGTTACTAACTCTTTTTCCTTCCTTTCCAGCTAAATCCCGTCCTATGTTTCCCTTCACTGACTGCAGCCGGCACCAAGCCTTGCACACAGTTGCTATCTAGTGGCCAGAGGAAAGTAGTGGATGCGTTTTTCTCCGGTTTTGTGGAAGAGGACTGTGCTACTGAGCTACAGGCAAGAATCTGTTACATGTATTCATGAAAATTGCGGGGGTTATTGCTGTTTTTCAGTGGGTTAGCCATCTGAATTTTGTTTTGATTGATGGTGCAGTCACTATAGATAAATCAATTCTTTAAAACATAGTCCACTGCAGTTGCAGCCTGCATAGCTAAGGGACTTTGTAGTAACAGGGGGTTGATGTGCTTGAAATATGCTGGGAAGCAGAACCAGGTCACATTTACAAAGAAAAAACACTGGTAACGTAATATACTCAATATTTTATTATAAAACCCTCTAAAGCGCCACTTTATAGGTCACAGTTGCAACAAAGGAAATGCCTTGAGTTAGGAGAACAATGGGGACACAGGCACATTATTTAACGGGTCTTGTCTGGGGAATGGGTGTTGCTCAGGACTTCCCTACATTTGTCATCACTGGACTGAGCTATTCCAGCAGGATCACCAAAGGTGACTGGGCTGCGGTGGAGAAAGCAGAGCTGCTCTCGTCCATGGCTGTCTCAGTACTACTGTGAAATGTCTGGACAACTTCTGGAGGATGACAGCAGGGTGTATGGTGAGGGCATGACACTACACATGTATTTTGGGTGTAGAAGGGGGGGCTCCTGCCAGCTCATGATGGAGCAAAACAAAAGCTTAACAGGATCATAGGCTCTGTGTAGTTTGGAAACTCCCTTGGATCCTGAACCAGAAGTTTCGGTGGTTTATTTGCATGAGTTCTTCCTATCTGCAAACCTTGCACAGGGACAGGCCTGGCAGCTGGGGCAGAAGAACTCCTGAGGCCCTGGATTAGCAAATGCCTCCATTTATACCACAGCAAAGTAAACTTTTCTAGGTAATACTGGAAGCAAGGGCACCTTTCTTGTCTCCAGGATGCCCTGAAAAAGTGCTTTGTCTCCAGGCCATCAGACATGACAGCAGGTTAGAGGGAGGAGATCAAGCATGGTTTGGTGACACTTGCCTACACCCTTTCAAATTTCAGTGTCTCCAAGTTTAGTAGTCCCAAACATCCAACAACTTCCATGAGAAAGCTGGGCTAGGGCAGAAGGGGTGCATTTTGTGAGTCACACTGCCATGGCCCAAATGCTATGTTAAATTTAGTAACTTGGAAATAAGAGTGACAGGATCAAGAGGGGCAGTAGCCCACCAGAGACATGGCGTTGCAACCTCATTGGCCAGGCCTGGAGAAGACCCCTATCCATGGGGAATGTCTTCAGCAGATTCTAGAGCTGTGGCTCTGTGGGGACCTGGGAGCATCAGCAAAGTGGTGCTCACAGCCAGGATAGAAGCATGGGGATGGCTTTATCTCACCTCCCCTGGAAGAGGGCAAGTCCTGAAGGATACATTGGGGTACAGCTTCCTTATCCAACAGCTGAGCAGGCTTGGCCTTTGGTAAATTTTTAACAAACCTTCAAATAAGACTGATTGATTTTTTTTTTTTTTTTTTCCCTAGCACAAACTCCTCAGATGAAGTAGATTAAGGTCTTCAAGAAATCATCAAATCTGCTTGGCAGCTCTTCTCTGACCAGAGCTCTTGGTGCCACCAGTCTGTAACACAGCTTACATCACAAGAAGGTGAGCAGGGATCTTCCTTGATATCCTGGCAAAGTTGCAGCAGGCTGGTAGCAGTAAGCACATGTTGGGATGCATTGGGACACCAATGAAAAAAATCTCCTGGGCAGGCTGCTATGTGCTTCTCATTCATGTCTCAATCATTGCTCAGGCATGGGTATCACCCTTGGCTTGAAGGCTGGGTGATCTGCAGCTCAGTGGTGACTGGCAGCAAGACAGGGGAGACTTGAGTTGACTGCAATTTGCCATGACAGGTTGAAAACCACCAGGATATAAAGAATAGTGGGGGCCCCTTCTGAACCCACTACTGTCACTAATATAGAAACCTTAATAACTCATGGATAAACCTTTGGAGTAGAAATACACAACCCACCCCTATGTACAGTAACTTGTTTACATCAACTGGGCTAGGAATCTGATACAAAGATGGCCACTGGTGGTTCTTGTTTTAGCTACGTGATTGGGCCTTGTCTGGAGAGAGCAAGATCATTTGGGATGATTTGTATTGGCAGCTGTTTTACCCCATTGCTGCCTCTGAGCAGTTGGCACGACATGGAGGAGGTGCTTGTGTGGTTGTGTTGCACATCCAGCCTCCACCTACAGATGATTAAATCCCCTTAGCCATGTCTGGGCAACTCCAGTCTTTAGTCCATCTGTGAAAAATGTGGTTCTAACTAGCTCCCTTCTTCTCCCATTCCTGCCAAGGAATAAAGGTAAATTAGACAAAAGGCAAATCTGGCAACAAGCTTAAGTAGCTGTAAAGGCCACAGGGTTAACTCAGTCATCTGGTGCCCGAGTGTTTTTGGCTGCAGGGTGGGTCAGGGATGTCTCACCCTGTAATTCATTTAAATCACAGACAGGGCAAACCCAGGTGAAAAGATCAGATTAAAAACCAGGCTGGTGCTTGGTCAGGGGTGCTTCCCAGACCAAGACAGGAGACCCACCACAACCCCATCCCACCACAGCAACTCTGCTCCACTGATGGCTTGAAATCCTGTAGCAATAGGCACATTACCTTAGCTTTCTGTAGGACTGTTCCCTTCCCTGTCACCATGACTGATAAAGGTCGGTTTTTTAAAGCTGTTGCTGAATTGACTGGTGAGTTATCTGTGCTGTTTGCTGGACCGGCACTTTTTGCCTGAATCTATAATAAAAGTAATAGAAATTGTGATGACTTCAGCCTACAGAGATTGCTACTTTTCATCCCCATCTCCTAGAAAAACTTAACAGTTGCAGCCCATTTGCACTGAGAGGAGTTTTTCAGTGACACACTGATTTTGAACCCCCACCAGGATGTATGTGGGTGATGAGGACTAAAGCAGAGGCACAGAGCAGGGCTCAGACACTGACCATCTTCATTTCATTGGAACAGGTTCCCAGGAAGGAATTTATATGCCTGAATCTGTCCCCCAAAATTACCCATGGCTCAGCTGAGTGCAGAAGGGGCTGTGGTCAAGACCTGCATGGCCCTGGAGGGTGTTGCTCCTGAGCCCCAGCTCCTTTTCACTTCCTCATTGCTGCTGTTACCTAATTATATCAGTATTAATATTATTGTCATTATAATAAATATAAATCTAATATATAAAATATATAAGATTATGTATAATAACAATATAATATTGCTATTAGTTATTATATTAAGCACCCAGCTTCTGGGAAGCTGCTGTGCAGGCCAGGGGTGTCCCCCACCTACCCGAGGGGCTGCATTCTCCAGGTGTGTGGTGTCCACCGCAGTCCCCAGTGTCACGGGGCCGGACTCTGCCTTCTTCAGGTTCTCCTTCACCTCCACCAGGCTTAGCTCCAGGTCCACCCTCCGGCTCTCCTTCCTTTTGCATTCTTCTTCTATCTCCTTCAGCCTCTGCTCCAGGCTCTTGTCTGTGAAGGGAAGGACAACTTGGTGCCAGCCGGGAGCTCAGGCCAAGGCATATCCTATACATTTATTTTCCTCATATTTTGCTCCAAGTGACAGATCAAGATCTTGCTCTAGTGTAATTTGGGCCATATCGTTCAGTTCAAAGCCCCAGGTCTTCCCCCTGCCCCTTCTGCTCCCAGGTGGACCAGAGTTACCACCCTCTCCTTCCCGTGGTCCCACTTGTTTCCATGCATCACACCTTGCCGTGCTCTACCTGTGCTGCCTGCCAGCATTTCCTTCAGCTCCTGCCTCTCCTTGGGCAGCTGGGTGAGCTGCCTGCCAGCATTTCCTTCAGCTCCCGCCTCTCCTTGCGCAGCTGGGTGAGCTGAGCCCGGATTTCATCCTTCTCCTTCTCCAGCCGCTCCTTCTCCTCAGTAAACCGCTTCACCTCCGCCTCTGTCCTGTTCTTGCCCAGCTTGGTCTCCACTGCTGCCACTGGAAACACAACCCACCAAAACAAGCTCAGCCAGAGGAAAAAGCAGAAGGGAAAAAACCTTCTTAGGTTCTTGGAAACAAAACGAACGACAGTCTGCAAAGTCACCCACCAGGAGACTCATCAGCCCCTTGGGCAGTGTTTAGCAGCAGTGAGCCAAACTACAGGCCAGCAGTGAGCCAAAAACTTATGTCTGGAGCACTTGTTCCACTCCATCCCTGGCTGCAGCACCCACTGGGCACCCACCCACCTGGCAGTGGCATCTTGGGCCGGTGTGCAGGCAGCTGGGGACTGCCCATGGTGCCTGTGCCCGCCGGTGGCTCAGGGGCCGGCTGCGGGAAGGCGATGTTCTGCTGCTGTGTCTGGATTTTGACAGCAGGCATCCGTGGTGGTGCCTCCTCAGGTTCTGGCTTCTCTGGGTGTTTCTGGAGGGGGAAATGTGGTGGTATGATGCGGTGGTGGGGCTCTGGCCCATGGATGAAGCCTGGCCCCACACTGCATATCAGGACAGTACCTGCTCAGAGGTCTCCACTGCCTTGCTACAGGGCTCGGTGTCCTTGGCCACCAGGGCTGTCTCAGCTGGGGTCTCTGCTGCAGCCTTGTTGGCAGCCCTTTCTAAAGATGGTGAGCTGAGGGGTGAAGGCTGGCATGACTTCTTGCCAGCACAGTGTAGGAAGGACTTCACTGGGGTGAGATCCAGGTACACTCTGTCTTGGTCCCCCTCTAGTTTGCTCTCAGTCTTGGGTACTTCTTCCTGCAAAGGGAGAAAGTTTCCCCTGAAAAGGGACCATCTGCTGCAGCCAGATGTACAGGCAAAGTCTCCCTGCAGAACAGCAGCATTACAGGCAATCTGGAGTATTTTCAAGTGCCCTAAAGGAACCAAGTCTTTCCTTACTGGGCTTTTTGGTGTACTGAAGGAAAGTCCCCTCCTCTCCTTCACTAGGTCTTTCCAATGGTAGCAGCAGTCTCACACAGAGATCTCACACTGTTGTACATCTAGCAACTCCTACTAGAGCCTTGGCCTTTCCCAACACCCTGTTCCTCAGCATGGCCCATCATTCCTGTCCTTACATACAGGACTTGCTCTCTCCAATATCAAGAGGAATTTTAATAGACCAGGCTCCAAACAATCCACTATCTCCAAATAACCCAATACTGGCTTACGGAAACTGTGGGGTTTCATTCCAGATGCCTGAGGATCCCTCCAGCACCCTGCTAGAAACCTCTCTCCCATACCTTAGCAGCTGCTCTCCAGCGCCCACTTCTGCCCAGTTGCAAAAGCCTGGATTTCCCCAGGGGTTGGGAATCTCCTTTGCTGCAGTTTGAAAACAGCTGGAGCCACCCCTGGCCAGATGGTTGCTCAAGGTCTTGCAGAGCTTGCTGCAGAGGAACCAGGCATCTTACCACAGGCAGGTCTGGCAGATCCACGTCGTCATACAGCTCCTCCTGCTGCACCCTGCCCTTGGGCAGGTTGTCGATATAGGCATTGGGCTCAGAGTACTTCCTCTGCATTAAGCTGTGAAGAGGCAGTGGGACGTCCCATCAGGAGAGATTGGTCTCACAGAATTGTCACAGTCGGAAAAGACCTCTAAGATCACTCTGTCCAACCATCAATTCCCTCCACCCCAAAATAAAATAAAATCAATTTAAAAAATACCCACTAGAGCATGTCCTGAAGTGCTTCATCTACTCAGTTTTTAAATATTTCCAGGGATGGTGACTCCACCACCTCCCTGGACAGGCTGTTTCAGTGCCTGACCACTTTCAGTCAATAAATTCTTCCTAGTATCTAGTCTAAACCTCCCCTGCTGCAACCTTGGCCATTTCCTCTCATCCTCTCATTATTTACTTGAGAGAAGAGGCCAACACTCATCCCCCTACAACCTCATTTCAGGTAGCTGTAGAGAGCGACTGGGACTCCTTTCAGCCTTCTCTTCTCCAAACGAAACAATCCCAATTCCCTCAGGAATCCCAAGTCCCTCACAGGACTTTTTCTTCAGCCCTTTCACCAGCTTTGTTGCCCTTCTCTGAATTTGCTCCAGCACCTCAATCTCTTTCTTGTAGTGAGGGGCCCAGAACTGAACACAGAGCTTCCAAAGAAAGTGACTGAGCTTCAGCCATGGATTTACCACCTATTCCCATGGCAGCCAACCCCCCCACAAGCAGAAGCACCATCACTCCAGCTTGCTTCCCCTCCACCAGTCCCTGCAGCCCCAGGCATTACCCCTGACATACAAGAAGGAGCTCTTTGCAGCGCTCACGATGCAGGAAACCCGTTCAGCATCCACGTAATCGTAGGTAAATTCCTCTGGGTCTGTTTTCGAACCGGTCTCCGACAAGAGGAGGCCCAGCCAGTGGCCCATTTCCTCCGAGGACTTTGCCTACAAGGAGATCAGACACATTACAGGTTGCAAAAAGCAGTTTCCCTGCACTCCTAAGGCTTAGCCTTGGATAGGGAGTCATTCTGGCAGCCTCCTGGGCTTGCAAGGAGAAAGACAAATGCTGGGTATTTATATTAAACCAGACTTCACTAAAAGAAGAAAGAACTAGTGCTCTGTGTAGGGGCTGATTTGCAAACTTGGAAGATACATGAATGCAGCTCTCTGCTTAACTCCTTCCTAAAATTTTCCATCAGTCTGTGTTTTCCTTTCCACGGTGATTAACTCTACTGCTTACAAGAGAAAGAGAAGACTCTGGTGCTGGAGAAGATGTTGGAGAGCTGGATTTACCAAGAAAAGTGTGCAGCTTCTATTTTGCACCAGCAGAGTGCAGCAATTGGACTGACAAACACAGGGGTGCAAGGAGACCTGAGCACAACAGGAGCCTGCAAGTTCCTTAAGCAAGAGCCCAAAACCCTTCCAGGGTTTTGCACAGGGAAGAGGGATTAGAGGACATCAAAGTGAGTCACTCCCTTTACTATGGTCAGTACCAAATTCCCAGCAGCAGGGAACAGTCTGACATTTTGCAAAATGAAAAGTAAAATACGGTGCCTTGAAGTCAGCTCTAGCAAACAGCCACATGCACTTCCCAGGAGTGGGGGATTTCTACCTGAAGCAAGAACTGGGCTGATACAACCACCTTTTGCTTTCATTTGAGGAGTCAGAGCAGTGAACACAAAGTATAATTCAGGGCAAGTGAATCCCAAACTGGAAAGTATATTTTAAGCTTCCAGTCTATTTTATTTAGCAGACTCCAGTCCCTGGGAAGCCTGCCAGTCAGCCTGTCAGTACATCAAGTCTGGCATCCCAACAAAATACAGATTCCTCCCTTCACAAAATGTAAATTTTCCCAGCACCTCTTCACATCTGTAATTAGCCAAAATTTCTTCGACACAGATATATTCCAAATCAGAAGCTAAACAAAAACACCTTCAAACTTCATGGCAGGCTCTCAAAGTCAGTTGTTTAGCTATAAATATTCCACCCACTGGAAAAATACAGGAAATTGCTCACATTGTCCACCTCCTACTATAATCATGCTGTCGTCAGAGAGAACTAAGATTAGAGATAAACAGTCCTGGATGCAGGCAAAGGAAAGTAGCAGATGGAGATGAATTCACTTGCACTTTCAGGGGCAGATTTGTCTTTTTTTTTTTTTTGTTTACATGAGATGCATGACCCATGACTTTGGGACTCTGTTTTCAGAAGATTAACTTCTCTGTTCCTCCTAACCCCAGATTTAAATCCCTAAAGTGGGAATTCCTCTCATTTAACATTAACCATCTGAAATGCATCCCATGTAACTTAACCATCAAGGTTATCCTATAGTCAGCAGAGAGATGGACACCTCCAGAGGACCTTTCATCCCATCCTAAGATGAGTGCTTAAGATGAAGGCTTGAATTGTCCTCTGGAAGCACCAGCATCAGATGCAGCCTCGATTACCAGCTAGGTGGGACACCTAGGTGACCACAGGCAGATGAACCAAAGTTCCACACTTCAAGTTCTGTTTTGCTGGACTGAAGGTTCCTCTGGAAGTCCTCACTGGCATTTAGGCCTACTAACCCAAGCTGATGACTTAAAGCAGAGCTTTCTTGGAGATATACACCCTACCTCCAGAATGACCCGTTCTTCTCCGTTGTGCAGGATACGGAAGGAGTAGAGATGATCAGGGCTTGGCTCTGGGATAACTTCACAACCTGTCAAACTCAAGGGCTGCTGAGCCACTTTGCTTCGGTTCTTGTCCTGGTAGAAATGGAGGTGACCATCTTTTATCTGACACCAACGGGACTTCCACTGGCTGTTCACCAGCACATTCAGGTAACCTGCAAGCAAGCACAGGTTATTTAGGCACATTTTCCATCCCACAGGGAGAGAGGATCAAGACTCATTTATGTGCATGGGGATGTCTGATGAGTAAATTCTGAGATCCCCACACAACACAAAGCCCCAGGCAGAGACAAAGCTGTCCTATCCATACAAAACTGGGTGAAAGGTAAAGATCTGTTTAAAATGAGACCCTTGAAATTCTGGTTAGGTTTGGAGCAGCAAGTTGGCTGCAGATGGTTGGACAAAGTTGGGTCCAGATGGTGAATACCAGCTGACCCACACAACCCTCTCCCTGCTCACTCTCACACCGTGGGCTGTCCAGATGCTCTCTCCATGCATGTCTGGTATTACCTGCCCTTCCTCTTGGGTCTTCTTAACATGTAAGAGGCACTGTCTGCATGGAGTGCAGACTGTGGCCTCTCTGCCTTCCCCAGCAGGACAGCCTGGCACATGCACATTTGAGGAGGATGATGCCAGGTGCTGATCCTGCAGTGCACACAAAGACCCAGCCCTGAGACAAGTCCCTGCAGAAGTGCTCATGCTGATACTTACTCGAAGTCTCCAGAGACCTCTCTGGGCTATCCAGGGAGCTGGATTTTTTCCTCCCAAGGTTCATCAGGTTACTCAGTTTCAGGCCAGTTGAGCCCTTCTTCTTAACTAGCAGAAAAGAAAAAGTCCTATGCATGTTTTTCCCAGCTCACACCCAAACACAGTCCCCTTGTCCCAGCTGCCTGCACTGCCATCCTGCACACAACAGTGTGGCACATATGTCCCTTGCAGAGGGCAAACCTGCAACTCAGGGCCAGGCTGTAATAGGCCAAAGCCCAGGAGGATGATGAGTAAGATGGCATCAGTAATCTCAGCTAAGTGATTTGCCAAAGATACTTTATCTATATTTAAACTTGGGTTAGTGCTGACCAAACACCAGTCACTGCAGGAACTGTGGGAAGGCTGTTTGCACTGGTCTTGCTGTGCAGGTGCCAACCTTCCTCCACTTTCTTATACTACAAAAAATTGAATTTAAAACCATTGCCCATAAATATTTACTGCATTCAAATCTTCTTCCTTCTAAAAGAGGGACTCAAGGTGGGGAGGAGGAAAGCTTATGCCCAAAGAGCCTCTTCAGCATTACCAAGCACATCAGCCCATGCCTGAATATGGCTGTGTAATCATCAGGTAATCCTGGCAAGAAACCAAGCTGCATGTTTTTAGTCCAGATTTTAACTTCCTGCTATCATAACAAAATGATGAAGTCCTAGTGCAGAGGGACTTGGCAGCCAAGCTCTATCTGTTGGGTGACCAGCATGGATTTCCCTCTCTTATATATAAAGGGGCCCCACCATCCTTCTAATACAGCATATCCTCTTTTAACATGTTTACCTTTACCATCTTATAGAAGGAGAATGCAGCTTAAAGCCCTAGACTTGGATGCCCTAGTGAGAAGGTGTAACTCTCCCATTGGAGATGGCTCAGCATTTCTCACACGTACTCCAACTTCTCTGCAGAGATCTCTGAGGAAAGTCAATTAGGTTGGATCTGTGCCATCTGAAACTGTCCTAAGGTGACTTGCCCAGAGCCATGCAGGATCTGTGTAGTAGGACAGGTATCACACCCGTATTTCTCAAGCACTATCCTAACTCTGTAACTGCTGAGAAATCCCAGCACCCACCCATCACTTCATTATGGAAGAAAACACTGAAATTAAATGCACAGGCAGTGAATTCACACAGAGCTTTCAGCCTGCATCAGGTCAGACTGAGGTGCCGATGGCAGGAGAAGCTACAGACACCCTTGCCACATGCAGGCTTGATGGCCAGGTTTCCCTGTCATCCCCAGGGTGAGGTTTTACCATCTTTTGTCTCAATCATCTCTGGGTGGCCGTCCGTGCTGCTCCCGCTCTCAGAGGCTGCAGAATGCTTCTCTGATACCTCCACCTGTCAACAATCACCAGACACAATCTCCACAGATGGACATGACCCATTCCTCCAGCCAGAAGCCACCACAAATGCCTTTTTACCTCCTGCTAAATTACAAGGTCCTACTTTCTCCATAGCAGATGCTTTCACATAGACATCCCCCACCCGTGCTTGGCCTTCCCAAATGTTTCTGAGCCTAAACCTGGACTAGAGACTGGCCCAACCCTGGCATCCAAAGGTCTATGTCTGTTCCAAAGCTCTTGGTGAGCACAACTGTACTGTTGGATGAGATAGTGGCTGCTGCCCTGTATGGAGGAAAACCTAATGCTGAGCCGGGTTTGGGGTGAAAGACATGGCAACAAAATACTACAAAAGAAAATCAGGGTTGTTCCAATAA